CTACCAAATAAAACACTTTGTGCATCAAATTATTCGCATATAAGTTATCTCGAAAACATAGTTTTTMTAAACTATATTTTASAGTAAAATCGATTTCATGGAAAATTCAGTTTAAATTTATTTTTGTTGGATCTATAACGTAACGTGCAAACGAAGAATTAGTCGAATGTCGTCGAATGAACACTATTTTGCATGTATGGTCGATTTTATAACGAAATTTMCCTAAATATTTGTAGGAATTCTATTTGATTCACTTCTTCTATTCATCATATTAGTGATTTAGAACATCATGAGTTACTTACTCTTAAAGTCAATGTATTTACTGTTTGAGTTCAAGTTGATACAATGTCGCCATTTTGAAAACACAGGAAGCCCAATTTGATATACTAAAGACTTTAAAGAGACGACATGAAATGGTCGAAGGCATATTCTATCGGTGAATCAAAACTAGAAGCTGGTGAGACTAGAGATGCTATAAGATACTTTAAAAAGGCCCTGATGATTGCACAGGAGAATGGCTCCAAACAGGAAGAAACTGTCACGCTAGCAAAACTGGCTGACGTTTACCGTGATATAGAAAATTATCACGAAGCTGTTGATTACTATGAGAAGGGACTGAAAATAGTACAAGAGACTGGTGACAAGAAACTAGAGTGTGCGATTTGTTATAACATTGGCAATGCGTGTGATAAACTGGGAGATTATGAAAAGTTTATGCAGTATTCAAAACAAGGCTTCAATGTTGCATTAAGAATCGGTGACTCTAGACTCACTGCAGATTCTTATGAAGGTCTTGGTCGTGCTTACCATTCCCTGCGTAACTATCAAAAGAGTATTAAGTGCCATAAAAAAGCTATTGATTTGTATAAACAACTGAATAATGAAGATGGATTAGGGGTTTGTTATGGAAACCTGTCATTATCATATCAGATGCAAGGAAAGTACCATGATGCAATTCGTCTATTAGAGGAGAGTCTCAGGATAAGTGTTAAAATTGGAAGAAAACAAAACCAGGCGGCTGACCTACTTAATTTGGGAACAATGTACGCAACGTTGAATGATTATGATAAGGCCATCAAGATGTCCCAGAAAAGTCTTGCTATCAGTATAGAGATCGGTAATAAACGTCTTCAAGCAAAATGTTATGGTAGCCAGGGAAATGTTTTGTTTAATTATTGTAACAAATATTCAGAAGCCATTGTGTATTATCAGGAATGCTTAGACATTTCAAAAGAAATCGATGATAAACAATCACAATCGGTCGCCTTATTAAACATTGGCAACTGCTTAAATGAATTACATCGATACGAAGAGGCGAAGAATCAATACGACAATAGTCTTGCTCTTGCTAAAGAATTAAATGACAAATATAGTGAGGCAGATATTTATCATGCTATTGCTATAAACAATATTTGCAGAAATCAATTTCAAACTGCATTACCTTTATTGGAGAAATGTCTTGATATCGCTTCGACTATTGGCAATAAAGAATCTGAGGGTGTGGCATGCTATAAATTGGGTGAAGTATACTATTCATTACACAAAGAGAACCAAGGACATCAAGCATGTCATAATACTGATGATAATATAGCTAAATCAGAGGAATACTTGAGAAGGGCACTTGATTGTTATGACTTTTTGTTACTACATCTCCATCAACACGATGATTTCAAAGTCTCTATTTTTGAAACATTCATTCAAGCGTACAAGCTACTCACCACCGTGCTAATTGAGACAAGGCAACTACAAGAGGCTCTGTTAGTATCTGATGGTAGACGAGCACGTGCTTTAGGAGATCGATTGGTCTTCAAATACGGTATGATTGAAAAAGAAATGTCATTACCTAAGCCACCAACCTATCCTGATGTGGAGGCGATCTTCTTTAAAGATGTCTTCTCGATACTGCATTACAGCTTACTAAGCAACAGTTTGGCTGTGTGGGTTTTAGCCAAAGACTCACTGATGTTCAGAGAAACTGAAAAGGAACAATTTGATTCTGCCATAGAAACATTGACTCAAGAAAAGAAAGATGATGATGAAAACTCCATTAAACGTTTCTTTACTTCTACGGTTTCAAGAGCATATGAAATGATGAAAATCCAAGAAAGCGTCACTTGTGAAAACAGATCACTTGATGATTGCGTTACATCGAAAGATCGTGTCACTACAAAAGCTTGTGAATCTCTGTCACGTGATGATGGTACCAATGAAGAGACCCTCGATAAAGCGTCTCACCCACTGGAAATGTTGTACAATTGTTTAGTTGCACCTGTCCTATCAGACGTACGACACGACGAGATTGTCATA